TGATTTTTCTTTTTCACGTCTTTCTTTTTCGGGAGAAAGTCGGTACCCTCCACAAAAATAACGGAAATTTTTTGCTTTTGCTTTCTGCATTTTCAAGTTGCACGATCACATTACAATGCACACACGGGTCACGAGTCACACGTGTCTTTTCACTTCGAGTCGAGTCAACCTCGAGTCAGTCAAACATATCACGTCAAGTTTATGCCTTGAGTCGTGTCAAGTCGATAAGTCAAACAATGTTAAGCCTTAGGTCAACCTAAGATAATTAAAGAAATTGGCAAAGTTCTATGATCAAAATAAATACAGGTGCAGCAGAATAGGGAAGACCCTACTCCAATTCTTGGCGCCGGAAATATTTCAGCAACGACAGAGCTCGAAGCCTCCCAGATTGGTGATTTCGACCTCATGCAACAATTTCGGGTTCCTTGGTACGCCAATTAGCCCCTATAAGCAATTTGACATGATTAGTAGTCGGCTCGATTACAATCGTAGTAAGTGATTGACCTGACGAAAATCGTCTCACTTAGCTTAAGCGCCTAAAACACTAGCTCATTACAATCGGTTCAAAAGCAAGCACTTAAACAACAATATTTCCAAATATGTATTGTCGCGCATTCTTATTAAATGACAAAGTTTTCCAAAAATTGGATTGTCATCCCCAACTGATAATATTTCCAAATATGTATTGTCGCGCATTCTTATTAAATGACAAAGTTTTCCAAAAATTGGATTGTCATCCCCAACTGATAATATTTCCAAAAATGGATTGTCGTGCATCTTCTTCAACGACAATTTTTCCAAGTTTGGATTGTCATCTCTGGCAAAGTTTCCAAGCGTGGATTGTCGTGCTCCTTCTTTGTTTGGCAAGTTTTTCCAAGTTCGGATTGTCATCGCTGGCAAGTTTTCCGAAATTGGATTGTCATACACCCAGTTCCCTATAGCAAAATTTCACAAAGGATTGTTGTAGGTCTCTACTCATCATAAATTTCGGCAAAAGTTCCTCATCGTGGATTGTCATTCATTTCAGTAAGTGGAAAATTTTCCCGAAGTGGATTGTCGGTCGACTCTTTTTTGCAAATGTTCCAAGACGCGGATTGTCAATAGTGGCAATATTTTCCCAAAAGGATTGTCGCATAGCGTTGGCAAATTTCCAAGGTGGATTGCTTTCAGGAGTTATATTCCAAGATGTGGATTATCGATCGTAGCAAAGTTCTTATGAAAGATTGTTACGAAGCATTGGCAACTTTTCCAAAAATTGGATTTTGGCAAATTTTCCGAGGTACGGATTGTCGCTTCATCGTGACAACATTTCCAAGGATGGATTGTTACGTGGCATTGACAACTTTCCCTAAATCGGGTTATCATTCATCACGCAAGAGTTATGTTGGCAACTATTCCCAAAGAAAAGAGGATTGTCATCACATCAAAAGCACCGACATACTGGTTCACAAGCAGCAAAGCGCCGACGTACTGGCATAGAAAACATTAAGAAGCAGTGATCTTTTCGAAGACTATCACAGCGGAAATTAGAGTCATGTAAAAAAGAAGCTCTTTGTTCAGGGACAAGTGAACATCGAAACAGCGGGATGGCATTCTCTAGCTTGCAGGAGGTCATCAAAACAACAACAAACAGCAACAAATCGGTTACTTTTAGAGACGTGTGCTCGACGGTGCAAGATACGCGTTTCTTAACTCTTTTATCTGTTTAACTAATGCTAGTTTTGCAGGTATTGGCGTTACAAGAGTGATTTAGGATCGCAGAACGTTCTGAATCATTCTCCGTCCCTATCGATACTTTGACTTTTGTTTTCGAAACTTGCGTTTCTCCAAACTTAGTCAAAGTGGGGTCTTCTGTAGACACCCATTTGTGTCTCCCCAAAACCAAACCCGGTGATGAATGCCTTTCACGTTGAATCATAGTCGAATGAAACGAAAGTGTGGAAAGGTCTAGTGTTGCGGAAAGTTATGTTTCTTTTCTCTTCTCCCTGATTTTGAAAACTTTATTTTAAGAAAACAGCCAATCCAGTTTGGTTGGTCCATGATATGGGTCCAATAGTGGTGTAGTTGGATGGGGCTTTCAAAGACCTTTCCAACGATATATTATAAGCCCAATTCCGATGAATATTGAGGAAGTTATGGCCAATTTACTAAACTGGGCCCGGTTTGAGCTTTATGTACGGCCCTATGATCTAGGGGAGGGCCTAATATAATTTATCATTCCTAATGCAATTAGGAATGGTTTTTGTCTTCTAGAACATTCTAGAAGGTTATTTTCATTCCTAATTCAATTAGGACTCTTCAGAGTTTTAATCAAGATCAAATAGCATTTTCGACTGAAATTATATTATTTTACCTTCCAGTACGGAAATTTATCAGATTTTCGAAAACGTGTTAAAAGTCAGTTTGGCGTCCAACCCCAGGCCTTGGCGCCTGGAATCGGGATTGGCGTCAGACGCCAGCATTGGCGCCTGGCACTAGCCACTGGTCTTGGCGCCAATTAGCCAAGGCTGGCGCCAAGATGGTTTTGCGGTCTTCAGACTCTGTTTTGATAAATTATCTTTTTTGGATGATTTTCTCTATAAATATCGTATTAAAAACTCCGTTTTCATGGACCAATTCTCTTTATTCTTAAGTTTTCACCATCTATCTTCATCATTCATCAACAAGCATCATCGATCATCAACTCTCTTCATTCACAAATTATTCATCAATTAGCATTCATTTACAGTCAAATAATCCTTTTCATTCATCTCTTTTCATCAACTTTCATACATTCATTCTTTCTTTTCTAAACTTTGCTTTTTAATACAAAATTCCGCATTCACAAGATCTAGAAACACCTAGCCATATTCGAAGTTGCCTTCGCCCTAGACGTGAAAGGTTTTAATTTCTGAGGGTTTGGTCCCAAATCTCTATTTCAATTATTTAATTTAATTGTTTTGATTATTATTTTCCTTGAAGTTACTAACTTGTGTATTTTGTTATTAGAAAGAGGTACGAGGCATCCAAGTAAGTACTTTATTGATTTATTGATTTTATGATGTAGATATCATGTTTATGTTGTTGTTATTTTTCCTAGTATCATGTCTAGGGTAATTTTAATATTAAATATGATTGCTATGATGCCTTTTATTCTCTTCCTAATATTTATGATTGTTAGTATCATGTTAGGGTTAAATCTATTGATTGCATGTTAGTCAGAAAGCGCGCATGAATACGAGCAAAATAAAGTAGAGGCCTATTATTAGGGCAGGTTCAATCTCTTTTAGGTTGGATTTGTACCTTCATCCCCGAACCCTTATTTGGTTCATGACCTTATGGAGTTGGCGATCTCTTGGATCATTAAGGGGTGTAACCTTCACCTCGTGAACGGTTTACAAGTTCCTTAAAAACTTGTTGGCGACTCTTTTGCTCTATCTTATTCCCTTTTGGACGCCACCGTACTTTAGTGTATGATCACAGTGGGGTTCAAGCTAGTGGGATTTTAAAGGCTTGAAATTATTCCCTACACTAGGGAAAGGGGGAAGCATGTTTGATTAATGAAATTGCTAGTTGATGCTCTTTGATTGATTGATTTGTTGCAATTAAATTGGTTGACATAGTTTTGCATGTGATTGATTAGACTAGGAGTGATCAACCTATAAGATTAATCTAGATTGCATTGCAACTCTTAATGACATGAACAATTGAATTGAAAGTTGCTCTAATTGATTGGGTTTTCTTGTGATTCTTCTTGATTTGCCTTTCATAGTGACACCTAGATTGGCCTATAGGAGATAGCATTTGAACTCACTTGATTGCTACTATTGTTTATCCATTGCAATACTTGAATTAATTAATTGAGCTCTAAACTAGCATTATCATTGAACTTGCATGTGGAACCCATATCCCTAGTGTTTAGACCTTTGATTTACTTGATTAGACTTGTTTTAGTTTACCATAGTGCCAACCATAGTCTAAACTCCATCTTCGAGGTAGCTTGACTTAGACTCTAGTTTTCATCATTGAATTTCCTAGGGATCGACCCTTAACTTACCCTATATTCATATAAGGTTGGTTAGGTGTTTAAAAATTTAGTTTGACTTGGGGGAAGGGTAGATAACGACATACATTTTTCTCTCGTCAAAATGGCGCCGTTGTCGGGGAGTGCTATTTGTGCTTAGCTTTTGTTGTTGAATCTACTTCATTTTAATTGAAAAAAAAATATACAAAAAGATTTTGTTTCTTTAGGCTACACTTGTAGCCGTGCTACTAATATTTTCTTTAAAGTTTTGCATGCATAGAGCTCGTGATCGATCCATTGTGCCTTTTGACCCGGAAATCGAAAGGACTCTCTCAAGGATAAGAATAGCTAATCGATCCTTGGGGTATAGTTCTTCAAGTGAAGAAGAGATTAAAGAAGAGCAAGGCATGGGAGAAAATCCGAGAGTGGCCTTGAAGGAGCTAGGAATACCCGGTGCTTATACGTTTGAGAGCGGCATAGCTCCGCCTACAACACCGGCAAATGATTTCGAGATTCGGCCAGCCATGATCACCTTAATTGAGAGGAGGCAATATGGTGGGGCTAAGAATGAGAGCCCGTTGAACCATCTTAAAGAATTTGAAAAATATTGCAACACCATCAAAGTCAACGGAGTTTCTCAAGAGTTCATACGCCTCAAGCTGTTCCCCTTCTCTCTCATTGGAAGATCCTTAGAGTGGCTAGATAAAGAAGTGAAGCCCAACTCCTTGAGAACATGGGATGATGTTAAAAAGGCTTTCTTGTCCCGCTTCTACCCTCAAAAGAAGACGGCGGAGGCAAGAGCCTTGATTCAAGGGTTCAAGCAAAGGACAAATGAAAGCCTTTACGAATCATGGGAGAGATACAAAGAGTATCAAAGGGAGTGCCCTCACCACGGAATTCCAACATACCAAGTGGTCCAAATCTTCTATGGCGGTTTAAGTCCCCAAGGCAAGTCATGCCTTGATGGGGGGGGGGGGGGGTGGACGGGGGTCCTATCATGAACAAGACCGAAGAAGAAGTGGTGGACATTATTGAGGACGTGGTGACTTACTATAGAGATTGGCAAGATGGGGAGAGAGACTCTTCAAGCAAGCAATCTTCATTGTTCTCGGTGGACCATCTAAATGCGATCAGCAACCTTTCCTCCCAAATGACAAACTTGGGAAAGGAGATGACCGCAATCAAAGCCAAGTTGGAGAGCACTTCTTCTTCTTCCCAAGCTTCGAATATTTCCTCCCAATTTAAGGGGAGAGGTACTCCTTCTAACTCTCAACCCCCTCCCTCTTCACATAATATGCCTATGGGTTGTTTGTTTTGTGATGCATGTGGATCGTATGATCATGACTCTAGTAATTGTCCTAATGAATGTGTTGATGAGTTTGATAACAATGAGAGTGAGCATGTGAATTATGTGTCAAATAATAATGCTCAAAGGTTTGATAATAAAAGAGGTCAATGGAATAGGAATTACCAAAACCAAGGCAATTTTGACAACTATAATCAAGGTGGTGGTTATAGAAACCAAGGGAACCAAGGTTCTCGTGGTAGCTATAATAACCAAGGTTATAGTGGCCAAAATCAAAGCCAAAATTATGGTAATCAAAACCAAGGTTATGGAAACCATAATCAAGGTAGTGGTAACCATAATCAAGGTGGTGGTAACCATAATCAAGGTTATGGTCAAAATCAAAATAGGGGTACTTGGAACAACCAAGGGAAGGGCAATTTTCAAAATAATGCTCAAAGAGGTCCCCCACCCGGATTTGTTCCAAGGACTCAAGGAGAAAATTCCTATTCAACCTTCTTCACCTAGGACCAATTTGGAAGAAATAATTGAGAATCAAACCAAGTTGTTGAACACATACATGGCCGTTAGTGATAAGAAGTTCAATGAAATGATGACCCACAATAAAATGCTTGAAAACCAAATTTCTCAACTTGCTAATGCTTTGAAAGATCATGCAAGCCTTTCTTCTTTACCTTCCCAAGGTCTTGATCCCAAGAAACACGTGAATGCTATTGTTACAAGGAGTGGTAAGGTTCTTGAGGAGAGATTACCTAGGAAGGGTGAGGATAAGGAGATTCCTAAGGAAGCCTTGGTTGAGAATGAGGGGGATAGGGCATCATTGGATGAGGTTGTGGTTGAGACACCTAGAGAGGTGAGAGTAGAGAAAGAAATTGTGAAACCCAAGCTCCCTTACCCACAAAAATTCATGAGACACAAATTGGATGAACAATTTGGGAGATTCATTGATATGCTAAAACAACTTCATCTTTCTCTACCTTTTACCGATGTGATCAACCAAATGCCAAATTATTCCAAATTCCTCAAGGACATTTTGAGTGGGAAAAGGACTTGTGAGGTTGTGGAGACTATCAACTTGACCGAAAGTTGTAGTGCTATCATCATGAACAGAATGTCACCCAAATTGAAAGACCCCGGAAACTTCTCCATTCCTTGTGCCATTAACAAGATTCAAATTGATAATGCCTTATGTGATTTGGGAGCTAGTGTGAGCATAATGCCATATTCGGTTTATCAAAGGCTTGAACTAGGGGAACTCTTACCTTCTAACATTACCTTGCAATTAGCCGATAGGTCAATCAAGTTTCCAAAAGGTAAGGTAGAAGATGTTCCATTGAGGGTTGGGAAGTTTCTATTCCCGGTGGATTTTATTGTGCTTGAAATGGATGAAGATGCTACCATTCCAATCATTTTAGGTAGACCCTTTCTTGCTACCTCGGGTGCTATGATTGATGTGAGGAGTGCAAAGATTTCCCTTAAGGTAGGAGATGAGGTCATTGAATTTGATTTGAATGAAAGCATGAAATATCCATCTTCTTCTCTAGAAAATTGCATGATGATTGATTCACTTGATCATGTTGTGTCTTCCATGCATAAGCACTTGCTCACCTCTAACGATGCTCTTGAGAATGTTTTGTTGAACAAGGACAAAGTAGGTACACCATGCAAGGAAGTGGCATTCTATGAACAATTGCGTAATGGAAGCATGAAGGAAGTGGATGAGCAAATGTGCTTGAAAATCTCAAGCCAAGAAGCTTTGCAAGAGGCCACATCAAAGGAAGGTAATGGCGTGCCTATGGTAGAGCTCAAACCTCTACCATCACACCTTAGGTATGAGTTCTTGGGCCCTCATTCCACTTACCCCGTGATAGTTAGTGCATCCTTGAGCGTGAGCCAAGCTCAAGCGTTATGTGGTGTTTTGAGAAAGCACCAAGGTGCTTTGGGGTACACAATTGATGATCTTAAAGGTATAAGCCCCGCCTTGTGCCAACACCACATAACACTTGAGGAAGGCGCCCTTCCTTCTATCGAACGACAAAGAAAACTACATCCCCAAATGGGAGAGGTAGTTAAGAAGGAGATCACCAAGCTATTGGATGCGGGAATCATATTCCCCATCTCTAGCTCAAGGTGGGTCTCCCCCGTGCATGTCGTTCCAAAGAAGGGGGGCATGACCGTGGTTGAGAATGAGAAGGGTGAGCTCATTCCAACTAGGACGGTCACGGGTTGGCGGATGTGTATAGACTATAGACGTCTAAACACATCCACCAAGAAGGATCACTTCCCTCTTCCATTTATTGATCAAATGCTTGAAATACTAACAAGGCACAAGTTTTATTGTTTCCTCGATGGATATTCGGGATTCTTCCAAATCCCCATCCACCCCGATGATCAAGAGAAAACTACCTTCACATGTCCTTATGGGACCTTTGCCTATCGAAGAATGCCCTTTGGGTTATGCAATGCACCCGCTACATTCCAAAGGTGCATGATGAGTATTTTTGGGGATATGTTGGAGGAGGAAATGTAGGTCTTCATGGATGACTTTTCGGTGGGGGTGTCTCATTTGAGGAGTGCCTTGTGAACCTTGAGAAGTGTTTGGAAAGATGTGTTAAGGTCAATCTTGTTTTGAATTGGGAGCAATGCCACTTCATGGTGGAGGAAGGTATAGTGATTGGGCACAAGATTTGAAATAGAGGCATTGAGGTGGATAAGGCAAAAATAGAAGTGATTGAGAAACTTCCACCTCCGGTGAATGTCAAGGGTGTGAGATCGTTCCTTGGTCATGCGGGTTTCTATAGAAGATTCATCAAGGATTTTTCACTTATTGCTAAGCCCCTAAATGACATTCTTCAAAAGGATGATGAGTTCATTTTTGATGACAAATGCTTAAAGGCATTTGATAGATTGAACAAGGCCCTAATCTCCACTCCTATTGTTCAAGCCCCAAGGTGGGGTCTTCCTTTTGAATTGATGTGTTATGCAAGTGATTGGGCTATTGGAGGTGTTTTAGGACAACGTGTAGACAAGAAGCTTCATGTGATTTACTATATGTCCAAGACACTCAATAGGGCTCAAAAGAACTACACAACAACGGAAAAGGAATTTTTAGCAATTGTGCACTCTTTTGAGAAATTCTGTTGTTACTTGTTGGGTTCCAAGACCATAGTCTTCACGGATCACGCGGCCCTCAAGTATCTATTTTCTAAGAAAGAGTCCAAGCCTAGGTTGATTCGATGGGTGCTTGAATTACAAAATTTTGAGATTGATATTAGGGACAAGAAGGGTGCGAAGAATGTTGTGGCGGACCATCTTTCTCGCCTTGAGGGTGATCAAATTCATGATGATGGTTCACCTATTGAGGATAAAATGCTTGATGACTTCTTATATTCCATAGAGGTGAAGGAACTCCCATGGTATGCCGACTTGGTGAATTTTCTAGCATTTGGGGAGTTTCCACCCTCTTTCTCAAAGAACCAAAGGAAGAAAATCAAAAGGGAAGCAAGACATTACTTGTGGGATGATCCCATCCTATACAAACGAGGGGTTGATGGCTTAATTAGGCGTTGTGTTCCAATTGAAGAGGTGCCTAGTGTTTTAAGGATGTGCCACTCGGACCCTAGTGGTGGGCATATGGGTGTTTCCAAGACCGCTACCAAGGTTCTTCAATGTGGTTTGTGGTGGCCGCATCTCTTCAAGGACTCATGGGGCTTTGTGAAGTCATGCGACCGATGTCAAAGGGTTGGGAATATCTCCAAGAGGAATGAGATGCCTCAACAACCCATTCTTGAGTTAGAGGTGTTCGATGTTTGGGGGATTGACTTCATGGGACCATTCCCATCTTCATATGGTAATCAATTCATACTTGTGGCTGTGGACTATGTTTCTAAATGGGTTGAGGCCATTGCCTCCCCTATTAATGACCACAAAGTAGTGTTGAAGTTGTTCAACAAAATCATCTTCCAAGGTTTGGCGTGCCTAAGGCTGTGATAAGCGATAACGGATCTCATTTTGTTCACAACGCCTTCCAAAAGATGTTAAGGAAACATGGAGTGCATCAACGGTTCGACCTTCCATATCATCCTCAATCGAGTGGCCAAGTCGAGGTCTCCAATCGTCAAATAAAGCTCATTCTTGAGAAGACGGTTGCAAGGAATAGAAAGGATTGGTCGAACAAGTTAGATGATGCTCTTTGGGCTTATAGGACGACTTTTAAGACACCTATTGGTACCACTCCATATCGCCTTGTCTATGGAAAATCATGCCATCTCCCGGTAGAGCTTGAACATCGTGCCTTATGGGCCATCAAGAAGATAAATTTTGACTTAGCTAGTGCGGGGGAGAAGAGGTGGTTGGATCTTCATGAGCTAGAGGAACTTCGACTTGATGCTTACGATTGTGCTAGCACCTACAAGGCTCGCTCCAAGGAGATTCATGACAAGTTTATTGAGAAAAAGGAGTTTTGTGTAGGTGACAAAGTCCTCCTCTACAATTCAAGGATGAAGTTGTTCCCCGGAGAGCTCATGTCAAGATGGAGTGGACCATTCTTGGTGAAAGATGTTTTTGATAATGGTGCCGTAAAGATTTCTCCTTTAAACTCCTCATCTTCATTCAAAGTTAATGGTCATCGGCTCAAGAAGTACTATGATGGAGTGTTTGTTGGACTTGTTCACAAAATGATTCTTTTTAGGCCACCATGAGATGGTGGTGCACGTCGAGCTAACGACATTAACCAAAAGCTCTTACGGGAGGCAACCCGGATTCTCATCTCATTTCTCTTTCCTTTCTTTTCTTTCATTTTTCCTTGATTGGTTTTTTATTTTATTTTGAGTTGGTTTTGTGCTTGTTTTGTAGGTCGCCTATTATCATCACTTGTTGGAAAGAAGAGGTTTGAAGAAGAGTTTAGAGTGCAGGGGAGAGGGCTCCCCGAGGGTTGGGGAGACCTCGGGGGCCTCTTCACCTCTTTGAGGCATTTCGATCCAGGGACTTCCCGCGGTTGCCCCGCGGTCTCTCCGCGGGCGCGGGAAATTTAGGAGAGGCCTCGGAAGATTTGGAGAGGACGCGACCCTCATATCAAGCAAAATTTAATTTCATTCCAGGGACTTCCCGCGGTTTCCCCGCGGTCTCTCCGCGGGCGCGGGAGGTTTTGGAGTGGGCGCGACCTAAATTCAAGCTCATTTGGAACTCCATTCTAGGGACTTCCTGCGGTTGCCCCGCGGTCTCTCCGCGGGCGCGGGAGGTTTTGGAGAGGCGCGGCAAATCAAGAGAGGGCGCGGCCCCCGTCAGGTATAAAAATTCTAAAAATTCCAGGAGGTCCTCGCGGTTGCCCCGCGGTCTCTCCGCAGGCGCGGGAGGTTTGCCGCGGGCGCGGCATATTCGGGAGAGGGCGCGGCGATCTGGGTTTATTACCCGGGCGCGCCCCTCTTCTCTTTCTCTCCTCTTATTTTCTCATCTTCTCCTTATTTTTCCCATTTCTCTCTCTACCTCCTCTCAAACCCTAACCCCAAAACATCAATTTCTCACAAATATCTTCAACTTTTGCCCGAAATTTTCACAAATTCTTCCATATTCCTCCATTTTCAACACTCCTCTTCTTTCTCGTGCTTTATCGGGAAATTTCGGGTCTTTGAAGTGCTTTGAGTTTAATTTGAGTCTCCAATCTTGGTATACTTCTAACCTTTGTAATATTTTTGTCAATTTCAATTGATTTCTTTACATTGGTTTGTTTACCTTGATTTTGAGCATGATTTTTGTGTTTTATGGTTGATTTATGGGAAATTTGGTATATTTGGGTGATTGTTACTTTTTCTTGTTGATTCATGATTATATTGATGAATGATTGTTGATATTGTTGTTTGTTGTTGGATTTTGGTTGTTGTGTTGATTGGAACAGGTACCTTGTAGTTTGTGGTGGTTTTGTTGGATTTGTAAGGAGGTTTGTGAGTAATTTTTGGTGGAAGTTGTTTTGTTTGAGGGAGTTTGTTGTGTTCTTGTGAATTGTGTGAATTTTGTTAAAATGGATTTGATAAGAAGAGTCAAAAGTAGCAAGAAGCGCTCAAATCAATCCCTCGGCCAATCTTCTCAAGGCCAATCCTCAAACCCTCAACCCCAACCGCATTCCACAACTCAAGATGATGTTCCTCCTCCTCCTCTCCCCCCTCTCAAATTTTGGAACCGGTCTAAACAAACCCCCATCTATAACAAAATGAAAGACCGGAAGTTTAGAGCCTCCCGCCATTACTTTCGTGAGGATATGGCCAAGCTAGGAATTGAAAATGACCTTGACATCCTTCTAGATAACCTAAGCTTGGGTGAGTTTCTAAAGTCGGCCCCTAGAACCTATATGGAGCCTTCCATTGAGTTTTTCTCCACATTTGAGTTCAATAAGGTGGGGGAAACCGATTTTATTATTTCCTTCCAACTCTTCAATGTCAAACACACCATGAACCTAGCCGAGTTCAATGTAGCCCTTGGTTTCAACCCCAATGGTGATATCTTCGAGCCCCTTATCTCCCTAGTCCAAACTGAGTATAATGAGGTTTCTTGGTGGAAAACCATAGCCAACAGGAGGGAGTTTGATTCAAAGAAGTCCCTTGCTAGTGAGATTATCCATCCGGCCCTTAGGATCCTTCATAGAATTCTTGGGTATTCGGTCTTTAATAAGCAAGATTTGGGGAAGTTATCTCGGGAGGAGATTATGGTGTTATGGATGGCTACCAAGCCGGAGCTAGGGTCAAGGATTAATTTTGGCTATATCTTCATGAATTGTTGTAAGGAGATAATGCATGGGGTCAAAACGGGGGAAATTCATTGTGGGGGCATGGTGACACGTCTTGTGTCGTATTTCAAGCAAGAGGGGTTCTTGAAGACTTGCACTCCGGTTGGAGGAGTGAAGACGTGTGGATTAGTTTGAAGCAAGTTAACACTTTGCGTTTCATAACTAGCACTAGGAGACCCAGCACTTACTCTTGGCTAGTGAGAAATACCCACCATTGCCTACTCCCTAACCCGGCCGCCACCTCCATCCTTCGTGAGGCTAGAAACATTTGGATGGTCCCTAGGGACAATGGGAGGATTGATGATGAGATGGAGGAGGATGATGAGATTGATGGGGGTGCTGGGAATGATGAGGAAGAGGAGGAAGGAGGAGGAGAAGGATATGATGAAGAGCAACAACAACCGCCACTACAACAACAACATGAGCATTTTCATGATGATGCTCAAAGAAGAAGAAGAGAAAGGAGACATCAAAGACAACAACAACAACAAGATTTCCAAGGAGATTCTTATCTCCGAGAGATGGAGGCCATGAGAGCCAACATGGAGCGCATGCAATTGAGCATGCAAGGTATGTACTCGGACCACCAAACTTTGTCTTATCAAACTAGCGCCTTGTATGACGCTAGTGTGCGTAGGGGGGAGGTCACACCTCCGGTCAACTACCCTTATGTGCCGCCCCAACAAGGGCCGGTACCTTCATGGGGTGGTGACAACCTCCCTACGTACCCATATTGGCCCGGGGTTGAGGACCCCGATGTGCCAAGGCGCGACTTCCCACCTTATGATTATAGGGTCTCGGGGGGGGGGGGGGGGGAGTGATTATCGGGGTGATCCCGCATACTACTACGTTCACCCTCATCACCCCGAGCCCCTTGTTCAGCGTGAGCCCTATGACCAATTAACCCAATCCCAACTTGACCTATTCAAGGGTCACTATGGTTTTCCTCCCGGTTACATCGGAGGTTGGGATACGGGTGATGATGGTGCCGGCCCTAGTGGCCAATAGTCCCCTTATGCATGTTTGTTTTCCTTTTTGTTCTCCCCTTTCCCTATTTTGCATGTTTATAGGCATCGCGGTCGATGCCTTCATTTTGTGAGGGGGGAGGGTAAAAAAGGATTTTTATGTTGGTTTGGGGAGGCACCTGGGGCTCGGTGGGAAGTCTTTGATAAGGCTTTTGGTGGATTTTTGCGAATGGTCTCGTTGGTTTGTTTCTTGTTGTTGTTTTGTTTCACTTCATTATGTTTTTGGAAATTTCTTGATGATGATGATGATGATGATGGGTTTCTCTAGGTTTTTATATATAGCTTGTGTCTAAGTGTTTTATTGTTTGCTTTTGTTTGGAAGTTACTAACAATTTCATTTTGTATTTATAGCCTTTTTCTTTAACTCACCTTGCTCGTAGCCTATGCTTTGGATTGCGGAACCTTTTGGAGAAGCACGTTCCTACTCCTTGGGTACTTTAATTTAGCACGGATGCTTGGTGAGGCCTTTCTTATTTTACCTCTTTATTTTCACTTCTTCATTTTCTTGGTTGCTTAGATTAGGATTAGATTTAGGAGAAGTTAAACGGTTCGAGGATGTATGAATTTAACACCTAGTGTGTTTGGGGTCTTTGGCGATGTGGCCATTAGACCGCTTGTATGTCGATTAGGATAAACGTGTTATGATTGCATCTTTTCCCTTTTCCTCTTTCCCTTTCTTGTCCTTGTCTAAGTTTTCCATCTTCTTCTTTTCTTTTCTTTCCTTTTCTTTTAATCTTGTTTGTGTGCATAACTTTTTGAGGCTTTATTTTCACTCTTTCTCCTTTTGAAAATTGGACTTGTATGCAATGGACTTTTTCTTTTGAATAATAGTCTTCTTAGGAAATAATGGTATTCACGGTTTGAGATTACGTTTGGTTGATTCTAGGATAAACCATGCTAAGATAGTTGTCTAGAACTAGGGGGATCATGAAATCGGATTCTACTCGTTTGTGGCATGTTGGTAGTTGCTCCCTATCTTTGATTTGACAACCTTAGTGAGTTTTTTCTACAACCATGTGAGATTTATATTTGTTCAAGCTTTCATCATACTCTTGCATGAGCGGCATAGATCCTTTATTTTCACAAACCTAATCTAGAATCTTAGCGTATGATTCCTAAGACCGTGACCGAACTACCTAGGGAGGACAAAGGCAACTTTTCGGGGAGGTATTTTTCTTTTTCTAGGATAGTCCCTTTTTTTTACTTTTTTTATGGTTTGGGATACATTTTCCTACTTGTTACCCCTTTGAACCTTTTTCCCTCTTTTCAAGCCGCATAATTATATATCTTGAGCCTTTTGTTTCGTTCTCCTTCTTTTTGGTTTTTGTGAAGCAAGGGTCAATGTTTGGTGATTGTGGTCTATGAAGTTTGCGTTTGGTTCGAATTGGTACGCATAATTGAGTTGTTTATATTTGGTAAATAATGGCAAATGCTTATGTAAAAGCCGTCCTTAGTAAAAGAGGCAAGGATGTTAATAAATGCATATTTTAAAAAGTCATCCGAATTGAAAAAGGCAAGGACTAATGCTTTTAAGGAGTTCAAGAAAATACAAACAAATTTATAAATGAGAAAATGCAAAAACAAAAAAAAAAGAAAAAAGAAAAAAAACCAAAAAAATTCAAGTGTCTTTCTCCTCTCTATGCATTGAGGACAATGTGTCTTTTAGCTTGGGGGGAAAGCGCTTGCGCTCTTTGTTCTAATGATTGTAGATTGTTGCTTTGAATAAGCTTGGGGGTGTTAATACGTTTTTGTTTGGTGATTACTTAAGTTCGAATTGAGATTTGGCCGGTCTTTGCTCCACAATTTAGGATAACCACCAAATTTTAAATTTTAGCCTTCCTTAACCTTTCTTGCCTTGCGTTACAACCTTGGGGAAGACCTTTGGACCTAGGAGTTGAGTCTTTCATCGGTGGAGGGAATCATAGGTTGTAGACTAAGGAAAGGGGATGCGAAATCAAGATGTCGAGTAGCCCAAAATGTTGATCTTTTTCCGGTTCCTTCGCGGAATCTATGAGATGCTCACTAAGGGGAGACATGAGATTAGTAGGGGGAACGCGGTAAGACCGTTTGGGATGAAAGTGGAATGTGATAACTAGTTCCTATGCTTAGCATATTTATGTTTCAATCAACCTTAGGTATCTTATAACGTGCATACCATAATTCACTTTAGAAAGGTTGTTATTCATTTGAATTAGTCTCTTTGTAAAGTCCATTTCGTAAAGATTTTTTTTCCTTTTTCCTCTTTCTTTTCATTTTCTGGTTTGGCTCTTGGGGGTTTGGTGGAGAGTTATGGGTAAACTCTTAGGATACCCTTACGAGAGCATCACTCGTCCTCTAGAGCGATCTAGGGGTTTAAATGGCTTGTTGTAGCTTAAACCAACCGTGATTCCTACGACAGTGAGTCTTAGTGTAAATTCTCGCCCCTCTTTTTCTTTTTGCTTCGAATAAGCCCTTCTTACTCCTTTTTAGCCTTTTTTTTTGCTCGGGACGAGCAAAACTCTAGCTTGGGGGAATTTGATGAGTGTCATTTATGGCACTCATATGGTAGTCTTTTAGGGTTATTTCTTTCCCTTTTTCATGCTTTCTTCTCTTATTTTTGGTCCTTTTTCCTTAGGTTTCTCTTTCTCCTCTTTTCTTTATGGTTCTCGTGTTTTCCTCGTCTTTTCCATTTATTTGGCTTTTTTTCCTTTTATTTCCTTTCTTTGTTTGCTTGTGTAGGTATTTGGAGAATCACCTTTGCAAAGGAATCGAGTTGGGGCCTTAATGATCAAGTAAGGAAGAAGCATTTGGCTAGAGAGGGCTTAGAGAGACCTTGGAGAGGCCTCAGAGAGGTCTCCAACGTATTTCCAGCAGGCCGCGGGCGCGGGTCAGTGGAGCCGCGGGCGCAGGTCAGTGGAGCTGCGGGCGCGGGCTTAAGAAGAGCAAATTGGAAGATTTTGGCAGGAGCTTCCCGCGGTTGCCCCGCGGGCGCGGGAAATCTAGAGAGGGCGCTCAATCTCAGAGAGACCGCGGCCCCCTGATTGAGTTTTGGGAGCAGGGGATTAGCAGCGGGCGCGGCATCTTTAGCCGCGGGCGCGGGTCTATCTTGTCGCGGGCGCGGGAGCTACCCAGAAAGCCCGCGGAGGGTTCCGTACCCATTTCTCCGCGGCCGCGGATTCATCGAGAGAGACCGCGGGATTTGCCGGTTTCTTCT